AAGCTCAAACTTCCACCTGGGTCTAAAATACATCCAGTGTTTCACGTTTCTCTTCTTAAGCCTAAGTTAGGACCCCATCAGGTTACTACCTCTACACTACCAGAATTTAATTGCCAAGACCAGTGCCTCCTACAACCTGCTGCAGTCTTGAAAAGGAGGGTAATCATGCGAAATGCTGTCCCTGTGGTCCAGTATGTCATAAAATGGCATCAGCTAGGAGAGGAGGAAGCGTCGTGGGAAGATCAATCTTTTATCAGTAGTCAATTTTCTGAGTTTCAGCCTTGAGGACAAGGTTGCTTTCAAGGGTGGAGTAATGTCAGGAGCAGGGACGTAATTGCAATTGAAGCAAAAGTTTTAGGGGTGTTAGTGTAATTAGCTTAGGGAGCCAAAAACAGTTAAAAGTTAGTTATAACAGAATTTGTTAGCATCAGATCATTGCACGGAAATTCTGTGTCAATTGGATTCGGATCCATCATTGGAATTGTATAAATCCAAGACAATGTAATGGATTGAAGGACAAGTAATACAATTACAATTTTTTTCTCCCAAATTCTCACATTCTCTCTCTCTCTCTGGTTGCAATTCCTTCTCAATCCTATTTTGGAAGAGCCTGACACAATCTTAAAAAAACTCTGCACTAGTAGCAGTAGTAGTACTATTTCCTAGAGATAGTAGAGATTAAGTGCCAGTGTAGTATCGCTTTTGATTGGCTACAGCTTGAAGCCTATAAAGGAATATAATTAGATGCTTTTGATTGGCTACAGCTTAGAGCCTATAAAGGATGATTAGATACATTACCAAATCAATATATACACTACCATCTCATTCACAAAAAAATTTCTCCCTTCCACTACACATATATAGATAGAGAATTATTGAACCCCGTTAGAGCCCTCTTGTCTCTAGATTTTTGTCTTGCTTTCTTCTTCGTATTTTCCTTGTATGAGTACTATTTGGGAATTGAACCAATAGCCGACTCGTAGCATTTTTGCATTAGGTGGTGGCACATCTTATATGATTGTCTCTGCACCAACCGTTCTTGCCGCTTATTCACGCCGTCGTCTCGTAATATGGTGCTTATAACATTCCCAATTTTTATTTTTTTTCCTTTGATTGTGCTATGAACCTTCATGCGAAGACAAATATACATATGCATGAAATTCGTTGTGAAGCTTTTGGGTTTAAGGGCCTCAAAAGATCAACTCCTATATAGTATTAGTATGGTATATAGAGCCATGCATGAAAGACCTATTAAATCATGTGCGGCTTTTGGGTTTAAGGGCCTCAAAAGTGTGAAATTTGATCTCAATCAATCAAAAGTTGTTTCATTTGGATTGTCATTTTTAGAAATTTTTATACAAAAATATGTTGTATCGATATGATGTATATGAGGTAGAAAAATAATTAAAAGTGTAGTTAGGAAAACGTAAAAAGTTTTCTTGAGTAAGCTACAATCCAAACAATGTCTAATAACTTTGAACAAAAGGGAAGCCATGTTAAATAAAGAAAGAAGTAGTTGTTCTAAGTGTTAATACCAAACAAGACGATGGAGAGGCTACATGCAGTAGTACTAATGTTCAATCAACTTGATGGATTTTTAAAAATTACTGTAACACTTTTTTTGATGTGATATATGTAAGATAAAAAAGTGATTGAAAAATATATTAATAATGCAAGTAAGTTAGTATAGACAAATAAAGTGTAGGAAAAATGTAAACCAAACACACTCTTTATTACTTCCTTGTCAATTCTCCATTTGTCTAATTGAATTAGTAGTGTTTTGATCATGTCAATTCGCTTTTATGCATTGAATTCGGCAAAGATTTCGCAGTGCATTGTTGTACATTTTGCTTAATCAGTTGTTATTGTTGTATTCTCGTGTTTTTGTCTCAAAATATTCTTTGAGTAGATATCATGTTGTCATAAAACTTCATCCAACTTTGGATTTGATTTTGGAACAAGATAAATTACTTTAATCCTTTTGGTCCTCCACTGCAAAGCCACATACTAATCTTGACCACTATGTCATGAGATATTGATTTAGTGATTAGAATTAAAGATGCAACTACTAGAGATCCTAGATTAAAGTGTCAGTATATGTGAATTTCTAATTTTTTTTCCATTTTTGTATGTTTATTTATAATATTATTTAATTGTGTGTTACTCCGATCATTATAAATCTTGTTAAAGCAAAAAAAAAAAAAAAGCACAAACTATCAAGCCTTTTTTCTAGGGGTGGGCGCGGGTCGGATACCCGTCTCATTCACCATTTGGCTAATCTGACCCGTACCTTGCGAGTCAGCCTTATCCGACCCTTACACATTCATCTAAGATATAATAAATTTTTTTCTAAAAAAAGGTTTCCCAACAAGAAATAAGCATGTGAAGATAATATAAGATAAAGGAAAAAAATAAAAGAATATAAAATCAATAAAAATTTGAAATAAGTAGCAAAATTTTTAATATATATGTTCGACATTAATTAAACTTTTTTTTTATAAAATAAAAGATTATGACCTCTACAAATGAATCTTGTAAATAAACTATAGTCTCTCATATTTATAATGCAATTTGTTCAATAAAATTACTTATTTTGTTCTAAATTATTATTTTATAATGTGTGTATAAAAATAAAAATAAAAATAAAAATAAATAAATAAATAAATAAATATATATATATATATATATGCGGGACGGATTAGATATCCGCGGATTTTTAATTATGTGACCCTAACCCGTCCCGCATGTTAGCGGGTACCCGACCCTCTTTTGACCCGAGCAAATAATAAAAATCGAATATCCTAATTTTTGAATCAGATCGAATCGGATATGACGGGTTTTTGGGTTAGCGGATAATTTTATCCACTCCTACTCTTTTCTAAAGACCAAGGAAGGAAGAAATGCATCTATTGGTTTCTACGCGCTCTCTAACTGACTCACTACTATGAAACTCCAGAAGACTTCTTACAGATGTCATGGAATCACACATGTCAGTTGCAAGCTTTTCCATCAGGCTATCTAGAGGTGGAGCTGAACCAAGTAGCTCGGCTCGAGCTCGCGAACTACTTGGTCAGCAGCTCGAACGCGAGCTCGGTTGACCAAGCTCGATCTCGAGCTCGATCCGCTCGTTAGAGCTATCGAGTCGAGCTCGAGCTCGATCTGCTCGTTAAAGCTATCGAGTCGAGCTCGAGCTCAGTTGACCGAGCTCGATCTCGAACTCGAGCCGCTCGTTAGAACTATCGAGTCGAGCTCGAGTTTGGAAATATGATACTCGAAAGCTCGACGAGCTCTATCGAGCTTTTTATAATATATATTTTAATTTTTATTATTGTGAAATGTTAATAATATCCTTTATTTAAAATTATATATAAAATATTAATTTTTATTACTTGAGTTTGATTAGGTTTGATTGAGCTCGAATAAGCTCGATTGAACTTGATTTGAATTGATTACATTTAATTAAACTCGAACTCGAGTTCCATAAATTGATGTCGAGCTCGAGCTCAAACTCGAATTTTAAAAGCTTGACAAGCTCGAGCTCGAACTTAATTATTTTGTCTCGAGTCGACTCGACTCGACAGCAGCCCTAAGGCTATCTATAAGAAAAAGTTGCATTATTACCGCAATAATGCACCGCGTGGGGACGGAAATAGCTGGACCAGTACCATGTGGGCCGAATAATAATAATGCACCTCGTCGACATTTCAAAAGGTGAGCACATGGAGAAATTCAATAGCATACAAAACTAGTTTTTCTGGCGGTGAATCTATTGTCTAAAAAATATTGAAAATTTTATTGCCACTCTCATTTTTTAAACTTGGGCACAATTGTATTCAAATCCTTATGATAAATTAGAAATAAATTATCCATTTGAAAAGGTTCAAAATTCTCATCAGGCTAAATAATTATTCATCTAAAATCCAATAGCACAGCTAATGCCCATCCTATTGCATAGAAAATATAATTCAGAGTATTTAAATTGTGGGTGAGTAATGACAGTTCACATGTAGATGTATATAATATAATAAGATGCTTAGCACAACTCATGCCGACAAATGTTGATCCTAACAATATTAGATATGAACATTATTTTTTATTTTAATTAATTGAAATACTGGCCTAAATATTGTTATTATTTTCTGGTCCTTTTTCTTTTTATGTTTAAAAATTTTTTAAACAACATTTTTTAGACTAGAGCTAAAAAGAAATATGATATTAGAGATTCTTGTAGAAAATTTTATTAAGTTCACTGATTTTGTGGTATAACTAAAAAACTTTTGTGGATTGCTTGCATCATTGACATTTCAAGTGGTAAACATAGCATGCCATGGGAATTATTCATACGTTTACTGGCAAGATGTGGAAAAAATTAAGTGCATAAATTATTCCTTTCTAGCAGTAGCATCTCTCCAATGAAAATTAAAAGATCCTACACTAATTGCTTCTGTAAATGTTCAATCAATGAGAGAAAGAATAAAGACTTCTTAAATGAAATTACATAATATCCTTAAATTTATCAAGATTCCATTTAAAAAGAATAAAATTCATACACATTTACAATGAAGATACCAGTTTCGACGGATTACATTTATTCACCTCCTACCTAGAATATTTATTTTTTTACACGAAAGAAAAGGAACATTAGTATAACAGAGAAGAAAATGTAAAAAAAGGGCTTTCAGTAGAATGATATTTGCTTCCATCTCAGCTAACCATCTATAAAACAGAGAACAAAGAACATAAATGGCTTTCTTACAAAAGCATTGATTTCTATAATCACAAACAATAGCCTCAATACTACATGCATAAAGTTCATACATTAAGAATAGATAGGAATAAGCATCTTCGTTGCATGCAAATAAATTAAAGAACCATAAGTTAAGGAAATTTTTTGGGCTAATTACTCAGAATATTGCCAAAAAAAAAGTAAAATCGGACATTTACGGCTCTCACAATGACGTGGTATTAAACTATTGTTGTCTGAGTTGTCTTAAAAAAAATAGCACTGTCAGCCCGGCAGCAGCTGCAAAAAGCCAAAAAGAAAAGTCAGGAGATGGCTTTTTAAGGTTGTGGGAAGGAATCTGTATTTGATCAAAAAGCCAAAAAAAAAAGAGTCTAATTTGGTCAACCTAATCTGTATTTGAGTATTGTGGGAAGGAATTTTTAAGGTTGGAATACAATTCTCTCAATGGAGGGAGAGATTCTTGATCAGTAAACGAGGTGTCTGGTCGGATTGAGGAACAAATTGCAGAAAAGAAATCTTGCTTGGGAGTGGCGGCAGTTCTAGTAAACTCGGAAGTAGGAATAGGGGCCTCAGACAGGCGAAGACAAGGATTTAAGCACCAACTTGAAAAGGCTTTTGAGGCCTCTCTGACGCAAGGTACTTCCATATCACTCTTTAAGTACTACAGTTTCTTTCAGACTTCAAATCCTGCACTCCCTTTTCCTTGTTTTCCCTTATTTTCCATCTAACTTTGTGATAAATAACTCACCTAATGCAGCAGAAAAAAGTTTCATATGTGCAAGTTTCTGGAATGGTTATTGAATGCGTTACCGTAGGGGCAAATTTTCCAGCATATGCTGATTGACCATGTCTACCATGGATTGCAAAATGCCTTCCCTCTCACTTCTCAGTGTCGTATACAGTGCTTTCTTTCCTTTACTCTTTGTATTCTGAGATAAATCGGTCAATATCACCTTTCTTTGCTTTTGTCAACCATCATGTGAGGGGTATAATGTACATTTTCTTTCATTTCCATTGAAGGCGGATTAGAAAGTTCTCAGGCTAACAGGCACCTCCCCGGAGGAAAATCTTATGAAGCCAAATATTTGTCAGGATATAAATTTCTTGTGCAAGTACTACTTACACATGTAGTTATGCAAAAATTGTATCATGGGACTTGAAATCTCCACCTGATTGAATGCTTAAAACTTCCTAAGCCACCCATGTTTCTTTGGGATTTGAGACAGGTACCGTTGAGATTTTTGTGCAATTATTGTATATTTTTTTTACATGATTTGATAGTAAATTTTATTCAAATACACAAACTCAATATATCAGTACAACCACATCTCTAAGCAAATATTGAAAAAAAACAACAAAAGCATCAATTGCATCAAAAGCCATCTGTGTAGGTAACAATTAGCATAGCTAAGCTCATCTTTTAATTGTGAACCCGAGTGATGCAGAGAGCTGAAAGTCTTCGTCAACATGCACTGAGATGTTTTACACCTCGAGGCATTGGTTCATATAATTTCGACAGAAAAAGTTAAGTTAGGACAATCATATTGTATAGCCCAGCACATGTTCTTATCAGATCAGTCTCTGATTTTGTTTCATTTGGAGTAATCCAAAGACTAGTTCTTAGCCACTTACGCATGGAATGGTTGCAAGTGTTTCTCGTAAGATAGGAAAGCAACTTTGATATGGAGCATCTTTGTTGAGCTGCTAGAGCGGAGAAAAGGACCAGTGGAAAGCCTACAAACATTTTTTGTAGTGGCCGGCACTATACATCCATGCACATCAGAAGCTGCTGCCGGGCTGTGTCAAATTTTGACTGGCTGCCAGTACTGTTTTTTTTAAAAAAAAAAAAAAAATTTCCTTTTGTTGTCGAACTGACGATAGTTTAATAACGCACTTTGTCAGAGTTGTAAATATTCGATTTTTTTTTTTTTTTGTAATATTCTGAGTAATTAGTCAATTTGTTGGAACCAAAGGCAAAGTTAAGCTGCATGTCATCAATTACAGATTTGTAGGCCAAAGAATTTTCAACCTTCAAGTTCATCATCGTTACACTTATCTTTTTATCAAGATATAAACATAATTAAATCAAAATCGACTATAATCGAATGATGAAGTGACCAAAACTATTCTTCTGATGTATAGGAGAGGATTGCTTTTTTGCAAGTGCAGGGCAAGAGTTCTTTAGAAATGATACGAAACTGGGAGGAAAATCAGCAAGAAGCTCTCTTCCACTTTAGGATTATGTATGGCTGCGATTCAAGTTTACTGGCGCTGCTGGCTAATAATCTCCTGCAAATTTGCCATGTCGTCACTCATAAAATAAGAAGAGAAAAAAACACTGAAAAACAAATGCATTAAATGTTCAGAAAATAAAAAAAATTAATCAAGAACTTCTTTTAGTCATTAGAGTAATATCGAAAGGATCATTACATGCCCCAATCATATTTAAAAATGAGGTTAAATTTGTATTAAAAGTTCAGAAGAACACATTTAGCTACACTGAAACTAACAAAATAGGAAAAAAATGAATTTTGACAATGAAAAGCAAGGATCAAATTTATCTATAAAGGTCGGGCAAAAAAGAAAAGCATCCCCATGGCTGCAAACTTGGCTGCTGCTGGGGGATAATACAGCCCAAAACTGCCATCTCAGTTGCCTCGGCAAGACGTGGCCTGAATCCAATTAGTATCAAATCCGAAATTGCAACTGACAAAATCTATACTGTATCATCACATTCAAATTTGAGAGTAAAATAAATTCTCTTTTTGTCATAATCATGACCGTAATCACATTTTTCTATTATTTTTTTTTTCACATGCATCAAATCGTTACAATAATTTTTTCATGAAAAATCATAAAAAATGCAATCTAAACACAACCTTAGCTTCGCTCTTAAAATTGTATTATGTTCGGTGTGTCACCTTAAAACATTATTCCCAAAAAAAAAGGGTTAATCACATTTTATCCCCTTAAAGAATACCCCATTTCTCAGTTTACCCCCTAACCTTTAATTTTGCTCACTTAACCCCCTTTAGGACAAAATTGCCCTTGCATTATTTTGACTTTTCATTTACCTTGTTTTCCTTTCTTTTATTTCTTTTTCTCTTTCTTCTTTATTTAATTCTTCCTCTTTCCCACAAAAATCTTCACCTTAATGATTGAAATTAAAAAAGAGAAATTACAAAGATCTATCTTCTTCTTAAATGATCAAAAAAAATTCAAACCACTTTTCTAAAATACAATTTTTTTATCCTTTCAATTCTTTTAATTTTGGGTTTTCCTCTTTCCTTTCTAGTTTCTCATTTTATTCTCAAGAAAATATCATAAAATGAAATTGTTTTCCTTTCTTTTATTTCTTTTATTTCTTTTTCTCTTTCTTCTCTCTATCATCCTTCCCAATAGAAAATTTGATTTCCACAAAAATTTTTGTTTTGAGTTTGTAATCGCATATTTTTGGGCGAAGGTTTAAAAGACATAAAAAACTAATTTTGATTTTTTGTATGATGTCACGTGTCACAAATTTCAATTGATAATTATTAATCAGGTCACAATTTCATTTTAAGATATTTTCTTGGGAATAAAATGAGAAACTAGAAAGGAAAGAGGAAAACCCAAAATTAAAAGAATTGAAAGGCTAAAAAAAATTGTATTTTAGGAAAGTGATTTGAATTTTTTTTAATCATTTAAGGAAAAGATAGATCTCTACAATTCCTCTTTTTTAATTTCAATCATTAAGGTGAAGATTTTTGTGGGAAAAAGGAAGAATTAAATAAAGAAGAAAGAGAAAAAGAAATAAAAGAAAGGAAAATAAGGTAAATGAAAAGTCAAAATAATGCAAGGGCAATTTTGTTCTAAAGGGGGTTAAGTGAACAAAATTAAATGTTAGGGGGTAAACTGAAAAATGGGGTATTCTTTAATGGGATAAAATGTGATTAACCCAAAAAAAAAGGGATAAGATCATGTCACTATTAAGGGAACGAGCTGGCCAGCACCATGTGGGGCCGAACAATAATAATGCATCTCGTGTGGACATTTGAAAAGGAAAGGACGTGGAGAAATTCAATAGCATTCCCACAAAGGTTTTCAGATTCCAGAGCCAAGATGTGAAAGTCTACTGACATTTATCAATATCTGAGTCAGATAAATTGCTCTTCTTGCTATGTAAGAGTAAAACCCATCATTTTGTGCTAGTGAATTCCAAAATGGCAGAAGCCATCCTATCCTCTGCAGTGCGTAATATAGGTAAATTGCTAATTGAAGAAGGCAAGTTTCTACAAGGCGTTAGCGAGCAAGTCAGACTCCTTCATGACGATCTCAAAGGGATACAAAGGTTCTTAAGATATGCAGATACGAAACAGACTGCAAGGGACGGTGTACAACAGTGGATTCCGGAGTTTAGAACTGTCGCTTATGAAGCAAGTGATCTGGTTGAAGATTATGCTTTGAGGCTTTCAATTTCAAGCAACGGAGGCTTTACAAGTACTCTAAAGAGGATTCCTTGCATCGCCACAGAGGGTTATACCCGTCACGATTTGGGCGTACAGATTCAAAGTCTCAGAACTAGGATCTCTAATCTCACCAAAAATTTTGGCGAGTATGGGCATGTAATGACCAGAACGGAGGAGGGAGACTCGAGTGATACGTCCAGGCAGCAACAATTAAGGCACACTTACTCCTTTGTGGCCGACGAGGATGTGGTTGAACTGCCTGATGATGTTGAGCAGCTGGTTAAATATTTGCTGAATGAGGTGGCAGAGCGCAAAATAAGCGTGGCTTCGATTTACGGCATGGGTGGTATAGGCAAAACGACTCTTGCTAGAAAGGTATATCACCATGACAGAGTAGAGCAATATTTTGGAGGTCGTGCTTGGGTTTGTGTGTCACAACAATGGCAACCAAAAGATCTCTTCCAACGCATTCTACTCAAGCTTATACCTGAACAGAGCAATGAGATTATGATGAGCGAAAAAGATAAGCTAGCAAGGCAGCTTCAACAGCACTTGCAAGCTAAAGATAGGAGATGTTTGATAGTCCTCGACGACTTTTGGTCAACAGAAGCTTGGGATTGCTTAAAAGACGCAATCCCAGTTTCGGAGCATGGATCCAAAATTGTGCTCACAACTCGTAATAGAGACGTTGCGGAACATGTTGATCCAAATGGTTATCACCATCAACTGCGTCTTTTGACCAATGAAGAAAGTTGGGAATTGCTACGCAAGAAATCACTGAGGGGTAGAAGTGGTGAAGGTAAAATTTTTCCCCTTTATTCATATTTATATATATATTGAAATACTGCAATGGAATATGTAATATTTATATAATAGAATCGTGACTCTGCCAATGAGACGCATATTTAAGATTAGACAAATATGTAATTCTTCTTAAAATTCATTCTCTATTCTTTCTAAACTAATGAATGTTTTAAATTTGCGATAAGATACATGTATATTTTTATTAGTTTTAAAAAATAAGAAGTAAAGATTATGTGTTTTTGCATTTTTCTATTTTTCACCCTTATTGCTAACTATAAGATTTTAAATTGATGTTTCACTAACCATTATGTGTTGCAAATCACAGTAAATATTGCGTAAATATATTTTTAGCGTGCTACATATTTATATGTATGTCTATCCAAAATTGTCAGAAGAGCTCATAAGGAATTTTAAACATTTAAAGATAAGACACAATATTTAGGCCTGGTTTGGTTGAAAATTTGTTACGTTTTTTGTGAACACATTTTTAATCATGTTTTGGATAGGCCTGGACTTGGACGAGTCTTTGAACCATGTTTTGGATAGCCTTTTTCCTAACTATTGATAGGTCTCAAATCTTTGGATTGGGAGACTTATCAGTTAACAGACTATCAAGTTTTTTGTATAGTTGTTGAATGATAACATGATGCTTATGAATGATAGATGCGTCATAGTTGATATTAATTTAGTTTGTTTAATGCTACACAGGTTTTGAAAAGGTAGGGAAGAAAATGTTGAAATATTGTGGGAATCTTCCGTTGGCCGTGGTGGTTCTGGGTGGAATTCTTAGAACTAAAACAACCCTCAGTGAGTGGGATGAAGTGCATGAGAATATCAAATCCTATCTGGATAAGGGAGAAAAAATTGGAAAAGAAGGAAAGGTGCCAAAGGTTTTAGCTTACAGTTACTACAACCTCCCTTGGCAACTAAAACCATGCTTCCTTTACTTGGGTAAATTCAGGGAAGATTCCGACATTGGAGTAGAGAGTTTATATCAGATGTGGATAGGAGAAGGTATGATATTTGAGAATGATAGGAGGGAGCAAGAAACAATGATGGAGGTTGCCGAGCGTTACTTGGAAGATTTAGCACACAGATGCATGGTTGAGATTAAAGTACATGAGGAGGGGAAGCATGCAGTAACAAGGTTGGAGTCATGTCGACTTCATGATCTTATGAGAGATCTATGCTTAGTCAAGGCAAAAGAGGAGAATTTGTATAAGCTGGTCGATCGAACTACTTCACGAGATTCTCCTCTTGCATTTGAAGCACAATATGGTTTAGTCCTTCATTTGCTTCCAGAAGATATCTCTGAATACAACTTTCCACCAAAAGAACAAACTAAGCATCTTCGCTCATTCATGTGTCATTCATTGGCAGTGCCCTATTCTAATCCAGGGGTGAGAATAATGTCCCAAGTCAAGAATTTGAAGATGCTTAGAGTTTTGACAATTTTATCCTTCCATATGGCCTCCCAAAGGTGTTATCTCAAATCACCTCTGGGATATGTCGGTAAGCTTATCCATTTGAGATGTTTGAGATTGAGAGGTCTTAGTATAAACTTGCCATATTCTTTGGGCAATTTAAAGTACTTGGAAACTCTCGATTTATCTGGTAGTTATCATTGTAGAATACCAAATGTGCTATGGAAATTGGGACGTTTGAGATATCTTTATCTTTCGGACTGGTGGTGGAACTCTCAGCC